ATTTATCAATATTTCTAACCCGGTTCTTAAAATAAGGTTGTTACAAATCTTGATTTCAAGCAAGATTGTATTTTTTCAGTCTTACAATTTCCCTTTTTGTCTTTTCAATACACTATTCATTCATTTTATTTTTCCAAAAGTTTACAACTTATAGGTACAGGATATTACTGCAAACATACATATTCAATACATGCTTATTTCAATAATGTCATTTCAATTCAACAACACATGTTCATCACACTATTGTTATCATGTTCTTCCAATGAAAATGGGTTGCACAAGGGTCATTTTAGAAATGCGTGCCAATTTCAAGTAATTATATGAGTATATTTGGCACCATTTATTATCAGTAAGACATATGTACAGAGTCATTCAAAAACAATTATTAGCTGCTGCATTATCAAATAAACAAAGCCTTTTCTGATGCTATAAAAAATGCATTATGAGACCAGGCATAACTACATACAAGAACATCTGATGTGTAGAAAAGCAGATTATTGTATTGTCAAATTGCTCGGAACTTTGCGGTTTTTAGACATATTATTTAACATTGATATACACATTAATAACATACACGTATAACAAAACATCAGATCGAAGTAAATTACAAACACGGCACAGTTTTATCGTTTAATTTGACATATTATTGAGTATAAAACAAACATGTATTTCAAAAACACCTGGTCGAATAAATTACAAACACGACACAGCTTTATACAGATCAATCGATTATGTATCAAAGACGTATTACAAAACATCAGGTCGAAGTAAACTACAAACACGGCACAGGTTTTGACATATTAATCAAATGTTTAAAACATGTATTTCAAAACAACAGGTCGAAGTAAATTACAAACACGGCACAGTTTTATAGTTTAATTTGACATAATAATCGAGTATGTACATAACAAACACGTATTTCAAAATACCAGGTCGAAGTAAATTACAAACACGGCATATTTCAAGTATGTATTTATCAAGTATTTCAAAACACCAGGTCGAAGTAAATTACAAACACGGCACAGTTCGAGTATGTAACACTCAAGTATTTCAAATCAACTGGTCGAAGTAAATTACAAACACGGCACAGTTTTATAGTATAAATTGACATATTTATCGATTATAAACCAAACATGTATTTGAAACCTCCTGGTCGAATAAATTACAAACACGACACAGCTTTATACAGATCAATCGATTATGTATCAAAGACGCATTACAAAACATCAGGTCGAAGTAAACTACAAACATGGCACAGGTTTTGACATATTAATCAAATGTTTAAAACATGTATTTAAAAACAACTGGTCGAAGTAAATTACAAACACGGCACCGTTTCATATTATAATTTGACATATTAATAGAGTATGTACAAACATGTATTTCAAAATACCAGGTCGAAGTAAATTACAAACATGGCACAGTTCGAGTATGTATTTAACAAGTATTTCAAATCAACTAGTCGAAGTAAATTACAAACACGGCACAGTTTTATAGTTTAAATAGACATATTAATCGAGTATAAAAAAACTTGTATTTCAAAACACCAGGTCGAAGTTAATTACAAACACGGCAGTTTTATAGTTTAATTTGACATAATAATCGAGTATGTACATAACAAACATGTATTTCAAAATACCAGGTCGAAGTAAATTACAAACACGGCACAGTTCGAGTATGTAACAAACAAGTATTTCAAATCAACTGGTCGAAGTAAATTACAAACACGGCACAGTTTTATAGTTTAAATTGACATATTAATCGAGTATAAAACAAACTTGTATTTCAAAACACCAGGTCGAAGTAAATTACAAACACGGCACAGTTTTATAGTTTAATTTGACATAATAATCGAGTATGTACAAACACGGCACAGTTAAATAGTTTAATTTGACATATTAATCGACATAACAAACTGAACATGTATTTCAAAACACCAGGCCGAAGTAAAATACAAACACGGCACAGTTTTATAGTTTCAATTTGACATCTAAATCTAGTGTTTAATCAACACGTATTTCAGATCATCAGGCCAAATAATAGTACGAACACGACACATTTATTTAGATATATTTTTTATTACAAATCGAGTAATAAGCAAACACATATTCTAACAGACAGCCGAAGTAAATTACAAACACGGCACTGTTACATAGTTTAACATTGATTGAAAAACAACATAATTACGTTCAAAGAAAGTATGTATTGTAGAAAATGATTGTTGGCAATAAAGATATGAACTCAACATAATCCATTATTTATTATTAGAATTCTGTCGATAAAGTATGATCAGAACATTTCAAAACACACTGAGCGTAGAACAGTGAACGAGATTTGCCTTTCGTTAACAGTAGCTGTGCTTACATAAGCACAGCGGGTAAAGAATGACCGTGTACGGAAGGAAACTGATGTCTATAGGCGGTTCAAAGGTAAAGAAATGCCGCGATCAGAGCTGACGCTTGCGGCCTACAGGAGGTGTGAAACCCCCTGCTGCTGTCTAGCACTGGCCGTGTGGAGCTCGCGCGCGGATCAATGAACACAGGTAAAATCTTTATGCTGACTTTAATCCGACCGTGCTGACTTTTATCGGACCGTGCTGACTTTAATCCAACCGTTCTGACTTTTAAACGACAATGCTGAGTATAACCCAACCGTGGTAATTAAACTGAATTTCAGTAAAAAGTCAGCATTGTTGGTTTATAGTCAGCATTGTACGAGTATAGTCAGCATGGTTGGGTTATACTACCATATTACGAGGATAGTCAGAATTTAGTAGTCACTAGTGATATATATAAACACTCATATCCTGACCGGTTGGCACATTATTTACATTAGTAGTTTTCTCTAGGTTAGGAGGGGTCTACGGGCTCATAGACTGGTTTTTATAGACCCCCGAGCCGAAGGCGAGGCGTCTATAAAAACCAAAGGGATCTATGAGCCCGTAGACCCCTCCTAACCTAGATATAATGAATTTGTCACCCTGACAATCTTTTATTACTTTTTTTTCTGCAAAGTAATTAAGTTATAAGCCACTTCGTGAGCTTGTTCTCGATTGCTACCAAAATAGCCCCTACCGGCCTTCCGGACACCCTTTCCGCAATATTTCGGACAATACATCAGCATCTTTGTAACTATCACCCTATACTAGTGGCCCCCTCATCGTTCATTGTTTCGATGAATTTGCTGTCAATTTAGTAGGCTATTTCATCTTGTGAATGATTGGCACACATCAAACACTTGTGTGTGTCAGACGCCATCTTTGTTGTCATGAAGAGAGATTCTATTTTGAGTTATCTCCCCTCGTATGTGCTTTTATAGAAGAGCGGGGTCTATAGAAATATAGAACCCGGCAAGATATCTAATCAGAAAGAGTGTTACATTCTAGAAGGGTGACAATGGTAGCTGTCGACCGTTGATATCACAGATTCTATATTTAAATAACACACAACGGGCTGTATTATAGACTTTTTAATTAGTGCCTTTTAAATGTTGAAGTCTTCACAAAGTTGGGTATTGCCTCGTCAAGTCTGTATCCTAAATGTAATCAAACAATAGTATAGAAAGACATGTTATACTTATCTTTATCAAGTTCACATGACATGCTTTTGACAAATCGAACAGTTTCACAATAAACTACATTGCGAAGGATAGTATACATGTGAATGAGTGCGAGTTTAGTTCTGAGTTAGATAATGATAGACTAAACACTATACACAACAACACCAACGAGAAATACAACACATACATCCTGTTGTGAGGCAAAATAGGCAGATTTTCTTCTTCTTATGCGTCACCTGTGATATTTAAAATAGGAGATATCAAGATATATATCCCTGCTAAATTGATGCCCACAGCGTTCACCTTAAACGTTTCCTTTTTAAAAGTTTTTTTTATATGTTTGCAGTTTGAATATATGAATATATGAATTTAGCCTGAAAGTGTAAGGCAACATAACATGGTGTTAGCTGATACTGGTAAACACATGTGTCATATTATGATGACTCTATACAACTCATTTATCTCCTCAACGACACGCCATCGTCTACCGACTTGTTGTTACTATCTAAATATACTGAAGGTTATTAATCATATCTTCATCAAATTAGTTCTAAGACCGTCCATTTTACGACGCCGTATGTGTTGACCAATTTATCACGCGAGGAGGTTGCGCTCTTGACTGAGGTGACCACAGTCCAGATGTTTAAAGCTTCGTCATCTTGATGATGTATTTAGTCAAATGTTCAGAAAGTAATTCTGTATCTTAATGATCAATTTTATGTTCATTATTCTCCAGTTTTCCTTTTTCAATCTAAAGATTTTTTAGTTTTAAGTATAATGAATATTTTGCTGATTTGAATATGATATTAACACTTCATGATAACCTTACTAAGCTAGCTACCTGTTAGTCCAACCCTGTGTGTACCTGACCACTTAAACCGATGACCTTATCACTCATTGTTTGGCATCACTGGTCATTACTTACATATTTACTTTTAAATTAGTTTTACAAAGAGGCTATAATAAAGGAAAATTGTATCAACAGCAACGACCATACAAACGTTGATGCTGGATAATATCATTTTATAGAAAATTTTGAGATAAAAATCGAAAACACACACATAAATATATAAATAAAAAATCAGTGAGTATTGACAGGGCGAATGATAGAACTATAAGAATTTTTTTTTTTACATATTTCGTGATCACTGAAATAAGTGACATCCACAGGCTTTTACTGAATTATATTGTCTGGCTTGTCATTACCATTATATATCAGAGTTAATGCTGGTTATCTGTCGATAACACAACATTTTAACCGATATGACGTCAGGACATCTTGTTAGATAATTGTATTTATATTTCAATATTATTTTATTTTCAAATCCACTAAATCCTCAAACATTTCCCTCGTGTATGGCCCCGACCATCTGGGGTTCACGGCCATCCTTGTGTGGCATCCTTGTCTTTTCCGATTAATTAAAACAAAAACGTACCTGTCGACACCAATGTTTTCGTGAAGTATGTAGTAACGTATATAAGATAAGTGTCCGAAGCGTTACAGCTGCAGTAAGACATCTGAAGCTGACCGACAGACCTTGTGGACGAAACATTGAATCACAATGGACAAGTTCTATGTAATTGGAGTATGCATGCTTGCCGTCGGATCAGTATGTAAGTAGTTTATTATTATTTTAGTATGTTGAAATAATTAAAAAAAAAGTTTGGTTATTAAGTTAGTTTATAAAGTTGAAAACATATCTATCATTAATTGAAAATAGTTAAATGTAGCATTCATATTCTTAAAATTTATTGGTTCACAATGTAATTGAAATAATTCAATTAAAGAAATGCTATTAACATTTAGAAAACTTTCAGTTTTCTTTCATTTCACTTCCCCATGTTGATAACACTTAGTTCAACACATTAAGTGTTTCTGCAGTTCAGTAGAATAACCTGTATTTATCTGGTGTAACATGTGAAATGAGTGCGAAAAACAATATACATACGTGATGTAAGGAAAGTTGTGATTTTGTAAGTACATTGTATGTGTCGAAAGCTTTACAAGGTTCAAATGCAGAATGTTAAGAATAATCGTTTGAATTTATTACTCATCCTTTAAAAAAGCATAATTAACTATATTTATATATCTATTTATTCTAGGTTTTCAATTCACACATAGCGCAACTACTTCATTCGTCTCGGAAAACACTGATATGCAAACGGAGAGTCCAAACGACACAACCTCCGGACCTACCGGAACAGTACCAATCAATCCCGAAACCGAGGCTTCAACCAACGTAAACGTCACAGCATCTGCCAGTACATCATCAACCGGTTCTGAAACCGAGGCTTCATCCGGTATGAACATAGCACCCGATAGTTCTAGATCAGTAACATCCGGTTCTGAAACCGAGGCTCCACCTGGTTCAAACACAACATCCGTCAGAACCGAAACAAGTCCAACTGATTCCGAAACAGAGGCTTTATCTGGAAGGAACGCAACATCCGTCAGAACCGAAACAAGTCCAACTGCTTCCGAAACAGAGGCTTTATCTGGAAGGAACGCAACATCCGTCAGAACCGAAACAAGTCCAACTGATTTCGAAACAGAGGCTTTATCTGGAAGGAACACAACATCCGTCAGAACCGGATCAGAAACATCCGGTTTTGATACTGAAACCTCGAATGACGTTAACACAACATCCGTTAGTAAAGGACCAGGAACAACTGGTTCTGAAACCGAGGCATCATCTGATGTTAACGCAACATATGTCAGTACCGGATCACTAACTTCGGTTCCCAAAGCTGAAACTTCATCTGAGGTTAACGCAACATCCGGTAATACTGGAACAGTAACTGCCGGTTCCGAAACCGAGGCTTCAATTGACATAAATACAACATCTGTCAGTATGGGATCAGTTACTTTCGGTCCCGAGAGTGAGGCTGAGACGAACGTTAACACAACGTTTTTGGCTTCAGGGTCATTTTTGAATGGTTCCCAACCGACTACTGTGAATGATGTTAGTAACACAGAAACTACTGGATCAGTAACACTTGGTTCCCAAGTGAATAAGGCTGTACCTGATAATTATACTTCCGGAAGTCCGGCTGAATCAATAAATAGTTCACAAAGTAATTCTTCCTCTGATGTAAACACTACTTCCGGTGCTGCAGATAACGTAAATACAACCACAAGAGTTACTAAATCTGTCAAAACTGACTTCATTGACAATGTCCTATCCTGTCCACGATTTCCGAGTCGACTGGTCAAGGACACACTTCTTGTCACTTATGTAGATGATCGCTGTGCAATGTAAGTATGTTTGTATTTTAGTAATCCGTAACTTTTGTTAATGAAGGAATAGATCCTGTTTTGTTGAGGTTTATGGGGTGTTAACCTCAATGGGTTTTGAGACAAATTTTATGAACTGCAAAGCCTACATAAACCTCAACAAAAGGGAATTATATCCTTATATTCACATTTAGTGCGATTTTGATATTTTATTTTTGATAATTTTTTAAATATCGGTTTTGTGCAAGTCGAACACCACGTGCACGGAAGGTACAGAAGCTTATGACGTCATCACTCACTGTGAGACGCATCTTGGTAAGATGAATAATTTGTTTGCATTGATAACACGACTAAACATAAAGATATAAATTAGTTATTTTTTCAATTCAATTGAAAACTTCTGCCAAAAAAAACATAACAAATTGAAAACAATTTAATAATATATCTACTTCCTGCGCTGCGCAGAATTACAGCGTAACCAGGTTGATAATACGCTGATGTATTCATATGCCAACTGGAAAGTTCATTGAAAAATAACCCGTAAAACATGTAGTAGGTATACTGAATCCAAGTTCAATAGAAATGTAAATATTCTAAATGAACCTTATGTTCACTGTAGTATATACTTTGAAAAAATGCACCCATTTAAATATCTAATGAATACTTTATCTTTAACTTGTCTCCTCAAAACTTTTCTTTTCTTTGTCATCATAAACAGCATACATTACATAAGCGATGATTTTTTGACTCTGCTTAGTAAGCTAATACAAGCAAATTAGGAATTCTGACGCTGTTAATCGGTCCGGAAGATTCCTACTAACAGGGTGTGAAACGTTAGATTTTTTTCTGTTTAAGTTAAATATGCTTAATATATTAACAACCAATTCAGTTCCATATTTTCTTACATTAGTTATTTATTATTGGTGTCGACCAAGCCAGGAGACATGTATAAATGTTTGAGTGTTTTTTTTAAATAAACACATGTATTTCCTGTTGACAGGGAAGTGTCTGTGAAGACAGTTGTTGTGCGTCCCCTGACGATACTACGGATGTTTATCAACAAAAGCAGGTAAGTGATAGATAATCCGTGACATGGTTAACATGTCTGTTGGATAATCTTACACCGATCCGTCATACCATATTCTCTCCATAGAATCAGTCTATCGGGAGAGGTCCGTCATACCATATTCTCTCCATACAATCAGTTTATCGGGAGAGCTAGGTGAATGACGTGCGAGAAAATCTAGGTTTGTTCTGGTTATTTCATTTGATTTGTTTAATTTTTCCATGAAGGCGTGCACGTGGTGATTAGAATAAAATGATGGTATATTGTGTTATTTATTTGGATGTTTCGATCAATAAACATATTTAAGTGAGAACAAAGATATTTCTCTGTTTAAAACAGACATGAAAGTTATTTTAAATACTCAAACACTTATATGAAATAAAACAGATAAAGTGTATATTGTAAGTCTACAATGGCCTCCTCTGATAACAAACACATTCAGTATATTATTAGAAACAAAATAGTATAAGACTCTTTCATGTCCAGGCCGTAGGAAAGGGAAATTACACCCGATGGGTTTTCAAATTTTGTAAAACCCTCGGCAAACCGTCAGGATTTTCAAATTTGGAAAAACCGAGACTTTGCCGATGGTTTACCAAAACTTGAAAACCTATCAGGTGGAGTTTCACTATCCTATATCCTTGATCATGAAAGAGTATTTTTCGCTCGGTCCAACTACCAGAATAAGCTCAGAAATCATGAAAATGCATATGGACTTTTTTGAAAATACCTTTTTGAAAATATCAACTTTTCCCCTGAGCTTTTTTGACGAAAACGAATCTGTCAGCGATATTTAGCATACCCCATATTTGAAAACAAAGGTTGCGCAGAAAAAAAAATCCTCATCTTTGTAACGTGTACGGTGAATTAATCGTAAATATAGAATCTTACATAAGTTTTCCATGTGATATTAGATTTATGAAACGGGTCTAAGAATGTTTCATATCAGGGAGCCTCTGTGGAGCTAAAATGAAAATTTCGTGACGAGTTTTGTAAATCTCATATGACATGGAAATGAATGCAAGATCCTTTTTATCATATAACTGAAACACTGACCTTTCATTCGTTCAGACATTTTTTTTTATCGTCAATCGTTTCATCAGCTTACTTTATATGACATGACCAAAGCACTACTATCACAATGTAGGTAAGATCTATCTGCGCTGTAACAAATAGGTCACAAAGATATTTTTTAAATCACTCAAACAACATGGATAAATATTAATATCAAATCAAGTTTTTCAATGCTTTGTACAAATGTAGTGCTTCAGCTGAAATTTGGAGACACTTTTTAACAAAACAGTTCACACGGTCCACGATTCGATAATCCTACGTCGTTTCACTGATTCGGGAAGTGATGTTCGGAATTGTTGATAAATGTTAATGCTGAAATGTCCACCGTCAATGTCTCCTCAAAACACAATGCACATTTCTATGGTAATTGGATGTACATGTAGTCTCGATCCGATCTACTCTCGGACCTCCGCGTAGCTCGCACGTTGACATTGTTGTTTTGTAAGGTTTTGCCATCTGTGTACCGTTGTTCAGAACGTTTTGTAAACTCCCCGAGTTGGATGGATAGATATTCTTGATTTTATTTCTGTGTTTTGTCATCCGTCATTAAAAACCAACTGGAAATTTCGCGCCCGCCATATTTACTAGACGTAGTGCGGAGTTATTTACTATCATGGGAAAGTGTGATGCGGTCAACCAATCACAATCACTCCAGGACATATAAGATGAGTTAATATGCAGAAATATGAAATCGGTGTATTCACTGCATAACAGGGGCGGGGGGCGGG